TCTACATGCGCTTGGGTACTTCCACGCAAAATCCCGCAGCAAGCACAGGAGGGCAAGAGCAAAGGTCTGAAGCCAGAAGATGGGGCTGCTGTACAGCTTGGGAACGATGCCGTGGAACTCGGGAGAAAAGGGGATCATAGGGGCGACTGTGCCGTAGACAGCGATGAAGATCCACCAAATGGCCATGGAGCCGGGAATGGCAATGACATGGTACTTGGTCCAGTTGCTGGTGACAAGGCCGGCCTTGCCGAGGACCGTGAGGAGGACGGGCGCGTAGAGGGCGGTACCCCACATCCAGTGGCCGGCGATCTGACCGTTCTCGAGTATCAGGTCGCCGTGCCAGATGAGCTCGCCAAAGACGTAAAGGATGATGGAGTGGTAGACGGCGTTGAGAAGCCATTCGATGAACACCTTCATACGGAAAAACTGGTTCTGCTGGCCCATGCTGTACAGTTGAGGGTACCGATCGAGGAGGCGCGCCGAGATGAACTGATCAAGAATACCGAGGGCCAGGGGAGGAAGAACGGTATAGAAGACGTTGTAAAAGGTGAGTGTCCACGATTCGTAAATGACCGCACCTGAGAAGACGTTGCGGAAAGTGTACTAAAAAAGTCAGCGGAGAATTTATGTGCATCGGGGTGGGGGGGCATACCCAGAACTGTGTCATGTACAGAGTAATGTTCTTGTAGAACGAGTACAGAATGGTCTTGGCCACACGCTGATAACTCCACGCGCCGTGAACGAGGAGAAGCTTCTTCAAGAACCTGAACTGGGCGATTGAGACATCGGCACTGCGAGCGGCCTGCAAACCCTCCTCACCACTGATGCCGACACCGATATGAGCGGCCTGGATCATTGAGACATCATTTGCACCGTCACCAATGGCCAGCAGGATGGACTCCTTCTGGTATTTCTTGACGAGCTTGACAACCAGGGCCTTTTGTAAGGGCGAAACACGACAGCAAATGACTGCTTTGCACATGATGGCAAGATCCAGGAACATCTTCTCGAGATCCTTCTCGAGAGCATACGTCAAGGACTTGCCGTCGATGACAAGAGCAAGCGTCTCGAGCTCAATGGTCCGATCACCTTGAGCGCGAATGGCCTCGAGCTTCTTTTCGATATTGTCACGAGTCGCCGCGGCGGATTCTTCGTTGATGATGAGAAGCATCATCTCCTCGGAAAGAAGTTTGCAACTCATGCCAATGTTGATGGCCGTCTCTTGCCGATCACCAGTGAGGACCCAGACTTTGATGTTGGCCTCTTGGAGAGTGTGGATAGTCTCGGGGACGCCGTCCTGAAGACGATCCTCAATGGCTGTGGCGCCGAGGAGGAAGAAGTCGTGTTCGATCATCTCAGAGGCCTTATCGAGCTCATCCGCACGGTTGCCGCCGACTGTAGTAGCCGCCTTCTCGTATACTTGGTTCCATTCTTGAAACTCCTGCTCGGAAACCTCACGCATGGCAAGGCAGAGTGTTCGCAGACCTTCCGAAGCATATTCTTCCAGGTGCGTCAGGGTTTGTTCAACGTGAGGGTTATTCTCATTCAGGCGTTCGAGGATGACTGTGTCGGCACCCTTGCAGTAGACGCGGATGACGCCATCGGGGCACCGGTAGATGGTGGACATGCGCTTTCGCGTAGAGTTGAATTCGCAAACCGCCAAGAGTTCGTACTCGAGAGTCTGGCCGTCGACCTCAATGAAGACGGCCTTGGGCTTGCGGTCAGTAAAGGTATAGCCGAGCGTGGCGGCGCCGTCAACGAGGGCACCTTCGTCCGGCGATGCAGCTTGGTACTTGATCTTGCCTCCCTTCTCGTCGCCCTTTTCGGGGATGACGGTGTGGCAAGTCGCCAACAAGGCGAGGAAATGATCGATAGCCGGTGCGGATGAGTGGTTCTTGCGGTTCTCCTTAAGGCGCTTATAGTCATGTAGGCCGACCTCCACCCCGTCTTGGATTGTTGCCCTCCGATCCTCGGGAACCTCGTCAGCGTACTGAATGCCAGCAATCGATGCCTGTTTAAACTCCATCATGTTGCAAGTTAAGGTGCCCGTCTTGTCAGAGAAGACAAACTCTACCATGCCCAATTCCTCCACCAGGTTGGAGGTGCGGCAGTTGGCAGGGGTGTCATTCCTGTCATAGTACATGTCCAAATCGTCATTGATGAGGATACCGTGCCAGTACTTGACCATCTCTACCGTAACGAAGAGCGAGATGGGAACAAGAGACGAAAACAGAACCCAGTAGGTGACCATGTCCTTGAAGAAAGTCTCGGCGATCTTTCCTGCCGTGTCCGGTTGGTCGAGCATGAGATATGAAATGGCATCACCCTCGACTCTCCGGATGATGAGATCGCCGACGGTACTGATGATACTCAGGACCATAAGAATTCCGACAAGCAGTAGTACGAGCGTGTTGAGCTTCTTCTCGACCTTGGTGCGCTTGATGGGTGCCGCAGTCGCGTTACGCATGAGTTTTGTTTCGTGGCCGGTGAAAACAACAACACCATGGATCCAAGGTGTGTTTCGGAGGGTTGCGCCGCGGAGAAGCAGCTGCTCCGGGTTCAGGGGTAATTCCTTCTCGCCTCCGCCTGTCTGCATGGTGAGAGTGGCCTCGTACGTGTACAAGCTGCTGTTGGGCTGTTCAGACTTCATCCTACCGCCGAGTCGGCTCAGTTCGCTGGAGCTGACCATCTGGCATGTTTCGGGCAGTGCCTGCTTGATCTTCAAGTTGGTCTCGCCGTCCAAATTGGCGGTTTCGATATAGCATAGACCTTCGGGCTCGGAACTGGCCAAGAGGACGATGTCTGCGGGGAAAGGCTCCTCTGACTCGACGCGGACGATGTCGCCGACAGCCACGTTGATCCATTTGGTCTCCTCAAAGGTCGAGCCGCGCAAGACCTGCGCTCGAGACGTGTTGAGAGCCGCATCAGCCTGTTTCCTGCGGTAGTCCTCCACCAGTTCCTTACCCGCAGATACCATGAGCACGGCAACGAGAGGAATAATCGTGGTAAATCGATTTGTTGGGGAGAGGCCGGGGATCTGCTGCAGTGCGGCGGTGAAGAGGAAAAAGACGTTGGCAATCTTGGAGAATTGTTCGAGAAGGAACTTGGGAAGGAAGGTCGCGACATTGTACTTGGCCGTAGAGACGTGGTTGTTGACGTACTTGTTGGCCGCATTCGCAGGTGGATTGTTGAGGTGGATGATTCTCGGGCCCAGGGTCGATGGATCTGGCTTGCTGCGGCCGAAGCCGAACTTGAAGTTGCCCATGTCGAACTTCTTGTCGCGTTTCGGGGGCTCGATGCCGCTCGAGTCTGCTCTGCTGTGACCTCCTCCGCCTGCTCCTCCGCCGCCGCCGCCAGGTTCTGTCAGGGGGAGATCCATCTCCGAGTACCCTTGGCCCATACCGAGCCTGTTCTTCATCTTGCCGAAGAAGCCGCCGCCCATGCTCAGGACGCTGTTACGGTTCCTCGCACTATGGTGGGCGGCCGCATCGGCGCCGCCGCCATTGAGAGCTCCACCCTGGTGGTAGAACGAGTCCCCGTCGGCCGGGTAGTCGTCAAAGTCGTCTGCGTATCGTTGGTAGTTGCCCAAATCGGAAGTTTGGCTGTATTGGCGCCCGCTGCGACTGTAGGGGGCTGACACGTTGTTGTTGTTGTTGTTGGAAGAGGAAGACTGGCCTGGGCCGCCAGGTTGAGATCCAGTGCCATGCTGTCTCGACTGGCCGGCGCCGATGAAGTCATCGTAGGATACAGAGGGCCGGCCCTGATCCTGACCAGATTCCTGGTCGCGGGTATATGTGCGCATCAAGTCATCATCGTTCAAGGTCGACCTTTTGTCCTCCGGCCGTACACTGGGTTGGTCATTCTTCCAGGTCGAGGAGTAGGTCATGCGATGGGGCGCCTGGAGAACTTCCCGTGGGTCGTCCAGCCATGCGTGAGGCGGGTGGATGTTTCCAGCGATCAATGCGATGATGCCTCTATTCGCGACATTCGGAAACGCTGGGGATGTATCGTAGGTTTCAGCAGCGACGGGCTTCGCGGATCGAAAAAAAAATGCTGGCGTTGACTGCGACTGTCGGCGTGGACGGTGAGGGGAGGGGGGGGCACGTCTGTCGCCGGTGGGCAAAGAATCGTAGCTGGTCGTCGAGTGGCAGGAGAGCTTTGGGTGATGGTCGTGAAAACGCTCGTGTATGCTGATGAAGGATCGAGCCGATCAATGCTGGGCGAGATGAGATGGAAAAGCGAACCGAGTCGTATTCGTCGCGAGCACAGCCTCCTTTGTGGTTGGTGCAGCAGACCAGAAACCTCAGGTAAGTACCAGGAAGGTAGGTCCCTTAGGCAGGCAGCTTTCTGGGGGGGTGGCTGCCAGCGCGCGCAAGTGGGCTCTGCTTGTGCTCTACGTAAGCCTCGAGGGGCTGGGCTGGCGTGTTGTGCCGCCGTCGCGCTGTTGGGCTGAATCCGAATTGGAGGCTTGGACAGCGTCTGTGGGGGTGTTCAGGTATTTGCTGCCGATGACGGTTGTTGGAGATGTTTCGCTTTTTTGCAAAACCGATACAGATCAGACCTCGAGGCAAGGGAGAGCAGTCAATGGCCTTTTTTTCGATCGTCTGTGTCTGGCTGTCAAACAGGATCCGGGGACGTGTGAAGAACAGGCGCACGGCGGAAGCTGAAGCTTGGCCCCAGGCCCAGGGGCAAGCAAGGCAGGCGACGTGGAAGGGCCCACACTTGACCATTGCTATTTGCGGCTCCTAGTGGCCCGGTGCCCCCCTGGTGGCCTCTCCCTGGCCGCTGACTGGTGGGTGCATCGTGTTCTGTTCGCTGTGTTCTGTTTCGGCCCACCAGAGCACCAGCCACACGGTGACTTCATATTTCTGCGTCTCAGGGGTTTGCCGCCACACAACGGGCGAGCTTTTGCCAGACGAGCCTGTCATGGCAGCCATGGCTGCGCCTGCCACTATCAGCAGCCCTGTTCATTGTAGCCTAGGCCATCTCCATCCTCCTGCACATCATCATCTTGGGTTTCGTGATCATTTGGATGCAAGGAACATCCCAATGCCATCTACCATTGTGCCTTGCCATGATCATATCTGGGTATCCATCAAGGCACGCTGTACCTGCTGCGAGCCCTGTCATACTCTCGGTGTCAGAATCCACGCCACCACAGTATGGATTCTTGACAAACCAGTAAAAGACATCTCCAACGGCAACGACGGCAGAAGACCCCCTTGATAGGCCCCGTCAGCGTGTCTTGTCTCCTCCCAATCGGCCGAAAATGCAGCAGCTCGCATCTCGAGCCACGGTTGCCGGGTGGAAACCCTTCTGGACGACTGGCATGCGGGGAAGAGGATAGGGGCATGCTAAAGCCGTGGAACCCGAACGCACTTCGACCCCGAGTGTCCCACTGTCTCACTCCTGGGCATCTGGACATCGCCTGCCAGACTGTGCAGACCACCTGCGCACTCATTTGACTCCGGGATAGCCGCATCAGATGAAAAATGGACTACTCGCTACAGAACCACGACTCCTACATTGGGCAGTCTGTCACCGACCTGCCTACACCCGCATTGGTCATCAGCAAGCGCATCGTGGAGCGGAATATCGCGCAGCTCAACCGCGATGTAGATGCTGTAGGGGTAGCCTTCAGGCCTCATGTCAAGACTCTCAAGGTGCCGCTCACAGACGAGGAGGGCGTAGAAGGCAGCCTGTTGACTGATGTCTTGCTTGGCAGTGTCTCGAAATCACTCGTATGATGTTGCGTCATGGCAAGAATCGCAAAATCATCGCTTCGACCATCCCTGAAATTGAAGGCGCATTGCCACTCGTGAAGGAAGGCCTTCTTGACGAAGTACGCATTGTCTCCATAACACTTGTGAGCACATTTGGGACGTGTATCAGATCTCCTGACTTTGCTAGGCCATCTACGGTCTCCCCATCGCCCCCTCAAAGCTTCCCCGCCTTGCCGCCCTTCGCGACCAGATCCGTATCGTCCTACTTCTCGACCATGACGATCAGGTCACCCATCTCGAGTCCTTCGCGGCCTCGTCTCCCTGGGATGTTCTCATCAAGATTGACGTCGGTACCCGCCGCGCCGGCATCCCCGCCTCGTCCCCTCGCCTCGCCGCCCTCGTAGCCCGCGTCGAGTCATCCTCCGCCGCGAACCTGCTTGGCTTCTACGCGCACGCCACCCACTCCTACGCCGGCCGCACGCAGGAAGCCGCCGAGAGCTACCTCAGCGCCGAGGTCGAGGGTGTGCTCGCCGGCGCCCGCCTGCTCCCCGCCGACCGGCCCCTTCTCCTCTCCGTCGGCAGCACCCCGACAGCCCACGTCGTGCGCAGCCTCCGCGCCGCTGCCCCCGCCAACGTCACCATCGAGCTGCACGCCGGCAACTTCCCCTGCAACGACCTGCAGCAGGTCGCCACAGGTCTCGTGGCGCCCGACCGTCAGGCCCTGCGGCTCATGGCCGAGGTGTGCAGCGTGTATCCCGAGCGCAACGAGGTCCTCGTCAACGCGGGCACTGTGGCCGTCTCCAAAGAGACGCACGCGCAGCCCGGCTTCGGCGACGTCGTGGGCAAGCCCGGCTGGTTCGTCAAGTGGATGTCGCAGGAGCACGGCATCGTCGGCGTTGCCGACGGCGTAGAGGCTGCGGCGACGGTGGCGGTGGCGGAGGAGGAGTTCAAGGTCGGCGACAAGGTGATGCTGCATGTTGCGCACGCATGCATCACGGCGGCAAACCACCATGCGTTCTACGTAGTAGACGAGCAGGATGTTGTGAGGGAGACGTGGGTTCCTTGGAAGGGCTGGTAAACTTACAACTTCTGTAGATGGAGCCAATAAGTCAAGACATTGTTCTGCTCCGTGATTGTCATGTTTGGACCATTTGTTGTCTGTAGACCCACGTCCGGTCAGGTTACGAGCTTCACGCTGTACTTGGGTCCGAGCACTGGATGTCCTGATCCAGGGGGGAAGCGAGTGAGGTTTTGAAGCCGCCCCTTCTATCATACCCGGCATCCGGTTCGATTCAGGATAATCCCCAAACCAGGAGACAAAGTGTCAAGGGTGGCCAGTAGCACAGAAGTCCCTCCTTCCTCGTGCTAAGATTGTACAATTCCCGCATTCGAATCGGGCAGTCAGACGTCGAAGGGACCGAACGGATCGACTGGGTGTCAAATGTTATCCAGGCCTTCTCGTCATGTGGGCGTGCGTGCGGCAAAGTTGATCGAGGCCGCTTGCAACCTGCGCTGACACAGAGCAGCAGGAAATTTCAAGTACCAACACACCGTCCAGGGAAAGAGGGAATCAATATACCCCTGACTACAAAGAGATTGCCGAAGAGCTGCCTCGCCATGCTGGAGGCGGCGCAATCGGCTGGATAGGTGAGGCCGCGGCAACCTCTTCATGCCACACAACCACGACAAGCAGAGGATCACAAAGTCACTTCTTGTTCGTATTCGCACCACTCAGCCCAGAATTGACAGCCAGTACCGTTTGTCCATAGCTCTCTTTTTAAACTCTAGCCTGGGCTGTATCCTCGCCCCGGCGTCTTGACTTCACAGCAACAAGTAATTGCGGGTCCCCCTTCTCTTATTCGTATTCGCGCTGCTAAGCTAGGCGTATTCGCGACACCACAGGCAAAAGGAGCCAGCAGCTGGCGTATTCGCAAGCCTATCAGAGGAAACGGAGAATTACATTTGATGTTTCTGCAGCTTGTTGGCTTCAAGAGTCAATTGAGCGCGGCGTATTCGCACCTATTTCCTGGAATCTGCTCTCCTCGTCCGCTTCGAGCACTGTGATTTTCCGGCGTATTCGCAAATGTGATAGAGGGATGCCGCAGCGCCGTCTCCCAGCTGGCGTATTCGCATGCCGCAGTAGGGATTCCGGGTTTCAGTTTCAAGAGACTATCTCGACCAAAGAGTAAGATTACTCGTGAATGGCTTTGGCCGAGGTGAATCGAGTTCACGAGCACATATAAGACTCGGCCTTTGTGTCCCATCGTCAGTATCACAAGCATCCCACAATTCAACAGCACCAGCGATTATTTCCCGTCGTTCCGGTTTTACCTGTTGCCTATCTTTCAGCTTCAACAACCGCCACCAAGATGGTCTCCTCCAAAGCTTCGAACCTCCAGCCTGAGGACCACAGCCGAGATGCAGCGTTCAACAAGATCATGCACGGCAAAACAGCGCAACTCAAGGGCGGCGTGTCGGCCATGTTCAGCAAGGACGCCGCCGCCAAAAAGCTCGCCGTCGACGAGTACTTCAAGCACTTTGACAACAAGCCAGCCGACGCTGAGACGGCAACCGACCGCGAGGCGCGTGTTGCAGACTACGCCAGCCTGACACGCCAGTAAGTTCATCATTTATACTCAACTTGGCTCCTCGAAACCAACGTGGTCATCGTTAAGGAGACTCTGGGATCAGTTGATGCGTCTCAGATGAGGACCCGGCGGCCACGGAAAGATGGGAGAAAAGAAAGGGCCAATAGAGAAGGAGGAAACAGAGGAGAACACAGAAATAAGGCTGACAACGACCTTCACAGTTACTACAACCTCGCAACGGACCTCTACGAATATGGCTGGTGCCAGTCGTTCCACTTCTGCCGATTCGCCATCGGCGAGGGGTTCGAGAAGGCCATTGCCCGCCACGAGCATTACCTCGCACACCGCATGCACATCGCTGAGGGCGCGCGTGTTCTCGACGTGGGCTGCGGCGTCGGCGGGCCGGCCAGGCAGATCGCCACATTCACGGGGGCGCACGTGACGGGCCTCAACAATAACGACTACCAGATTGACCGGGCGACGCATTACGCGACCCAGGCCAAGATGGCAGACCGCCTGGAGTTCGTCAAGGGCGACTTCATGCAGATGCCGTTTCCGGACAACAGCTTCGATGCCGTGTACGCGATCGAGGCGACTGTGCACGCATCGCGGCTCGAGGGAGTGTACTCGGAGATCCAGCGGGTGCTGAAGCCTGGCGGCGTGTTCGGCGTGTACGAATGGCTCATGACCGACGCATACGACAACGACAAGGTGGAGCATCGGCGGGTGCGTCTCGACATTGAAGTCGGTAGCGGCATTGCCAACATGGTGTCGAGGAAGGAGGGCCTCGCGGCGATGGAGGCGGCCGGGTTTGAGCTGCTTCACCACAGAGGACCTCGCGGACAGGCCGGACCCTCTGCCTTGGTACGGCCCGCTGTCTGGCGAGCTCAAGTTCACGCAGTCGGCCATGGACATTGTGAAGAGCATTGGCATGACGCGCTGGGGACGAGCCGTCGGCCACCAATTCATGGGTGCCATGGAAACGCTGCGCCTGGCGCCGGCGGGCACGCAGAAGACAGCGTTCGCGCTGGCGAGGGCGTCGGATGGGCTCGTCGAGGGTGGCAAGCAGAAGCTGTTCACGCCGATGTACCTGATGGTCGGACGCAAGCCTGCACAGCCATGAGTCGCGGGCACGACGTAGTTAGTGGACGATGTAACTGATAGACGGGGGGTTTCTGGGGAACGGAAGGAGTCGGCAGTGATGACGACGGCAGCGAATGGGGTCGACTGGGGTAAACACTGGGGTAGAAACAAATGATAGGAGGATCGACCCTGACATGTCGTGATAATGATGGGCTGATGGTCAGCGCCAACCGGGCAGGCCGAGACTAAAAAGATAATCGACTACATTTCTCAGTTGCTGTGTTGCGTATTGCGTGTTGCGTGTTGCGGGTTGGTGTCGAGGAGTCGGAAGGCGGTCGGGATCGGAAGAGGCTCGGCGCCATGTCGTCGGAACGAGAATCCGGGGGAGTGATAGCGGCGCGCGGTACTAGTCAAGGGCGTTTGTCGATCGAAAACAAATGCGCCAGGGTGTAGTACAATAGGATGTCGGCGGCTTATCAGGAGCTTGGACACAGGGCTGGACAACTGGTGCGGCCAACACGGGACCAGCGGACTCGGAATGGCAATCCGATGGTCGGTTGTGGAAATTTTTAGATAGGGCGTATGGTCAGAAGGCGAGGGGGGGAGGGGGCGAGATTTGATACGAAGCTTCCAAGAAACGAGAGGCATTTACGTCGTCTGGTGTGTTGCAGACTGACTCGTTTGGATTCTTGATGATGATTTCTGAGGATCATGTTGCGCTTGATCGTGGATCTGATGAACTGGATTTTCCTCTGCCTCCTATCGACTGGTACGAAATCATTCAATTTGGGGAGACAGCTATGGGGGAAGCTACTAAGGGAAAGAGTTGGGGATTTGGAGAAACGTGCGGGCAGCGACAGAGCAGAGCACTCTTGCCCCTGTTGCGATGCCGCGTCTAGCCTTCCATTGCCTTACCTGGTGGATACCGCGGCAGGTGCTAGCTGCTAGGTAGGGAAGTAGGTACCGCGCCTGGGCACTTATTTGTTACCTGAGGCAGGCCCTACCGTAGAAAAAATGAAAAATGCTCCGAGTGCAGTGTCCTCGTTCGCCCCCAAAAAGTCTAGGCGACGCCGCAAGCGCAAGCCACGGCGCCCAAACTGGCTTGGCTGCTGTGCTGGTCCCGCGAGCAGTGAAAGTGACCCTGGAGTGCCGAAGAAGACGAAATCCCATGTCTCGGAAGGCAAGGTACCTGACTGAACCACATCTGCCACCTCAACATTCCAACGGGCCACTCTCTATCTCTCCAATCCGCACGCTCCCAGCGTATATCCTCGTTGCCTGCAGAGTACGAATCCACCTAGCTGCCCTTCTCGGACTGAACCCCTGCTCCGCATGCTGTTGCATGGAAACGGACGCCGGCCTCTGACCAGATCGCGTGCAGCCCGCCACGCTGCCAGATAAGCTACCCATTTTCCCCAATCACCAACCGCCGCTCATGCCCTGAATCGGTCATCTCATCCACCTCGTCTCCATGGCCTCCGCAGTCTCTGACACATTGAGGGATCTACAGTGGGAACCATGTGCCACCTGAGCTGCCTCATTGGGTCTAGGTCTCCCTCGACGCCTTTCTTGGCGCTGCGTCCGCCTCTTGGATATCGTGTCTTGGCTTTCCCAAGCCCGCCCGCAGAACCTGGTCAAAATGCTGGGGTAGAACGTCACCCCGCAGCCCTCGACGAGACGCGACGCCCCGAACGGCGGCACTTTGTCGGCCTCCCACGGCCCAAGTACCACGAACGGTGCGATCAAGCTTCTCCAAGCCGGATGCAAGCCAGCCACACATAAACCCTGGGCACCCTCCCTCTCCCCCGTTGGCTCCTCCCCCTTCCAAGCCCGACCCCAAGACGTGTCCAAGAGGTTAAGAGATCTTCGCCCGCCTTGGTCTTTTACCGTTTCCTTCTCTTCTTCAGTCTCGTACCTACCTCCCCCCCTTACGTCTCTCTTCCATTGTTGCTATCCAACTGCTGGCCGACTTGGAAGTCGACTGATACTCGCGAGACGCCAACATGGAGAAGGGATACGACTCCCACTCGCCCCGCGGCGCACCAGACGTGGAGCACCGAGGCGATGCTGTCGAGTTTGCTGGCGACGTCAATTTCAAGACACTAAATGACGGAACCCCCGATCTTGTCGCCCAGAATGATCAACTACACCGTGGTCTGAAGAGCCGACACATTCAGTTCCTCGCCCTCGGTGGTGCGTGAGTACTACCCTCTTCCCTGTTTTTTTTTTTTTTTTTACTGACCAGCCTCAAGCATCGGAACTGGTCTCTTCGTCGGCTCGGGCGCCATTCTGTCAGTCGTCGGTCCAGCCCCCCTCTTCATGGGCTACCTATCCATGATGCTCATCGTCTGGAACATCATGAACGAGCTCGGCGAGATGGCAACATATCTTCCTCTCAAGGGCATTTCCATCCCTTACTTTGTCGAGCGATTTGTCGAGCCCAGCCTAGGATTCGCCGCCGGTTGGAATTACTGGTACGCCTATGCCATGCTCGTCGGCGCCGAGGCCTCGGCCGGCGCCATCCTTCTTGACTATTGGAACACACCCGTGCCTGCTGCCGTCTGGATCACCATCATCCTCCTCGTCACGCTGGCTCTCAACATTTTTGCCGTTTCCATCTTTGGTGAAGCCGAGTTCTGGTTCGCCAGCATCAAGCTCCTCACCATCCTCGGTCTCATCATGACGAGTCTCGTCATCATGCTCGGCGGCGCCCCTGACGGCGACCGCAAGGGCTTCCGCTACTGGAACAACCCCGGTGCCTTCAAACCCTACATGGCTGACGGCAGCACCGGTCGCTTCCTCGCCTACTGGTCCGGCTTCTCGCGCGCCGGTTTCGCCTTCATCACCTCGCCCGAACTGATTGCCCTGGCCGCCGGTGAGACTGTCGCCCCCCGTCGCAACGTGCCCAAGGCCGCGCGGCGCTTCATCTACCGCCTTGCCATCTTCTACGGCCTCGGCTCCCTCATGATCGGCGTCATTGTTCCCTCCGACAACCCCAACCTGCTGAACCCCGACTCCAACGCCAACTCGTCGCCCTGGGTCATCGGCATTCAGCTTGCCGGCATCGGCGTTCTCAACCACATCATCAACGCTGCTATTCTGACTTCGGCGTGGTCAGCCGGCAACGCCTTCCTCTACTCTGGCAGCCGTATTCTCTACAGTCTCTCCCTCAACGGCCAGGCGCCCAAGTTCTGCGCCCGCACCAGCAAGAACGGCGTCCCTTACGTCGCCATCCTCTGCACCTGGTCTATCGGCCTGCTCGCCTACCTCAACGTCAGCACCAACGGTGCCACCGTCTTCACATGGTTCATGAACATCAGCACCATCAGCGGCTACATTGCCTGGATCGTTGTCATGATCACCTATATCCGCTTCCGCAAGGCCATGATTTTCCACAACATGATGCACCGCATGCCCTACAAGACGCCGCTGCAGCCCTACGCCACTTGGATCTGCCTTGTTGTGCTCATCATCCTGACTCTGACCAACGGCTTCCAGCTCTTCTTCCCCGGCCAGTTTGATGTTCAAGACTTCCTGGCCGCCTACATCACGATCCCCATCTTCCTTGTGCTCTACCTCGGCCACAAGCTCTGGTTCCGCACGCCGCTGGCGCGCAAGATTGCCGACGTGGATGTTGTCACCGGTGTCAAGGAGATGGAGGAGCTCGCCGCCATGGACGTTGAGCCCGTTGCGAAGAACTGGCTGCAGAAGGTGTGGTTCTGGATCGCATAAGAGAGCGCATGGGAGGGGCAGAAAAGCGAGCTTCGTTTATTTTTAGTTTACAATCTTACGTTCAATGACAATTTTGTTTTTTGTCTTGAATCAATTCTTCAAAATACTTGACATTGGTGATACTGTGATGCTCAAAGGGCCGCGGTTGAAATGCACAGCTCTGGACATCCCATGTGGGGCAGCATCTGGTCGCGCCGAGATCGTTATCTTATCATAAGTCGTCATCCTCCAAGCGCCTCCCCAAGGACCTCCCCAACCTCGGAAGAGCCCTTGCGCCAAACACCACCATCACAACTCACCTACCATTTATCCATCATCGATATTCGCCCTCCCCAGAGAAAGAGAGCAGAGAAATGGTCTGCTCCAAGTGTCAAAAACTCGGCAAGGGCGCCACGACCCTCGCCACCCCGACCGTCAAGAAGAAGTCGGAACTCTACCACGGCTCGGCCGCCGCCTCCTCGTCCGCGGCCGGCGGCACAAAGTCGGCGACACTCGGTCAGACGGGCATCGGCAAGAGCAAGCTCCTCTCCAAGGCGGCCAAGAACCCGTACGCGCAGTACTCGAGCGCCTGCGGCAAGTGCAAGACGCGCGTCGCGCAGGGCCACGCGCTGTGCCAGTCGTGCGCGTACCGGGCCGACTCGTGCGCCGGGTGCGGCAAGGCGAACAAGAAGAAGGGGTCTGCGCCGGCGGTGGCGGGGCAGAAGTTTACGCTCAAGTGAAGGGGTGGTTCAGGGCGTGGGACGCAATCTGAAGCGATCGTGTTTTGAATGAGCTGGTGCGGCTGCGGATGCCACGAGGGCGCTGTGCGGCACCTTTGCTGGAGGGTCTCTCGTCTTGGTTGGGTGAGACGGCTGGGGCGCGCTTCTCGCAGTTGTTCGTGCGAGGCTTGTGCCTGGACTGCTGGCGGGGACACGCGGCACGCTGGGCGAGGGACCGGTCTCGTCACCAGGCTATCTGGAATACAATTCCACCGGCGGCACCACAGGCCGTCAGGTCGATAGAAGAGGTCAGCGTGGCTGGCGAGCCCCGATGAGCCGAGTCGTCCCTTATGGGACATTTGTGCGAGGAGCTTCCTCTGGTCGCCTTGAGAGCCTGCAATCATGGCCTATAGAAGGACATCTCAAAACTCGAGAAGTTGGTTTCACTACCAAGAGGTGGTGAATGACACAGTTGAGCATAATATACATGGGTTATCGAAGGAGAGGGGCTAAGGTATCATGGAGGCGTTCAATAAACACAACTATCGATCTATGCAGCATCCTTTCCGCTGATTGAACAAGTGACTGCATAGCGTCGTACTGTTCAAACATCCATGAATCATCAATTGCTAGACTATCTTGCGTAAAACCTAAACTTCCACCATCGTGCATGCCCTCAAAGAGCAGCCTTGACGCCAGCCGCCTTGCCCTCAATCTTCTCAGCAAACCACGCCTTCAGCATGGCGTTGATCTCGTCCGCCCTCTGCCACAGCGCCCAGTGTCCGGCGTCGACCGACTTGGTCGTCAGGTCGTCAAAGTGCGCGCCCATGCCCTTGGCCATCTCGGGCGTCAGCGCCAAGTCCTTGGTGGCCGAAGCAAAGAAGCACGGCACCTCGAACCGCCAGCCCTTTTCGACAAACGGCTGCTCGTCGGCAAACGCGAGCTCGCGCGTGCGGTACCAGTTCAGCGGGCCGTGGAGGCCGTTGCGCGCAAAGTTCTCGACGTAGTGGTCCTCCTCCTCCTTGGACACGTGGGGCGAGGAGCCGACCTGGCCGAAGAGGTCAAACTTGAAGCCCTTTTCGGCGCTGAAGCCGAACTGGCCGTCCGGGGTGCGGCCGCCGTAGATGCTGACGAGGGTCTGGCGGATGTCGTCGGTTGTCTTGACGTTGGCCTCGACGTCGCCGCTGATGAACTGCAGCTGGTAGCGGAAGGTCGGCAGGCGGCCCGAGTTGACGAGGGACTCGAGGCTGAAGTAGCGCGGGTTGGGCGGGAAGTAGGGCGTGCAGATAGAGAAGACACCGACCACGAGCTCCAGGTGGTACATGGCCGTGCGCCAGACGAGGGAGCCGCCCCAGTCGTGGCCGCCGAGGACGACTCTGGGGTTGGGGCCGAGGACGGCCTCGGCGAGGGCTGCCAAGTCGTGGGCCATCTCCTTCTGGGTGTAGGGCTCAATGCCGTCAGGAGCGTCGGTGTGACCGTAGCCGAGCGTGTCGGGGGCGATGACTTCGTAGCCCATGGCCTGGAGCTGGGGGATCTGGTAGCGCCAGCCAAAGCTGAAGTCGGGGAAGCCGTGCACCAGGAGGACGGCACCCTTGGGCGTCTCACCGCCCTCGGGCTTGCCATGGAGATACGAGTAGGTCTTGCCCCTGACCTTGGCCTCCTTACGTTCGACGCGCGGGTCGTTGGGCACGAGTTTGGATGTCGACATGGTGGGATTTGGGGTATGTGGATTGGTGACGGTGCTTGGTGGTGAGGGGTAGGTGTGAGGAGGGGTTGAAGCAAGCTCGAGGCGAACAATACTCGAAGGGGAACTAGTCGGCTTTCCTCTCCCCCCTCCCATTATATATATACATATCCTGCGCCCAGGCACGTACAAAAACCGGTCAGGGCAAGGATAGGGGCAGGTGACAAATGAAGCTGCCTGTTCCGTCAACATAACGCATACCGTGATGGGGCCTCAACGTCACCAAAGGTCTATCATAGGCGCGAGAACTCCGCCAGAGCCTGGTTGTCTTGCACCCCAGCTTAGTATGGCCATGGCAACCGAGCCTGGTTCGATAAGTCACGGCGCCTTGTTTGTGGTTCGAGCAAATTGTACTTATCGAAATCTGCATCGGCGGGTCATCGCCAACCATTCAAGGAGGCTGCCGTTGTGTTCCACTGTGTGGTCTACGATGGACGCAGAACGATCTTCGCTACATAGCTCGACCCACAAGCCTCGGCTTTGGTCTTGCGTAGACTACTAATCGGGACGGCGATTGTCGAATCGGGTACGCCGTTCAGTGGCGGCAGGGGTCTAACATCAACAGCTCGAGTAATGCACAAGCGGGGACCTTCACTGGCCTCAAGAAACAAGGTATACACAGTTCCTATGAAGTGGCAGATGCGTGATTCATTTTGTGAGTGTCGATCAAAAAACACGCCGAAGTCAACGCCGGACGCTTTTTTTTCTTCTCAAGCCAGTGGGTATCGCAGAAAGGGGAGAAATGACCGAAGAGGAAGAAGATTTACATCTTGCCAGCAATTCGGGCTCCAAAACGAACTGTCAATGGAAATCATTAGTACATCACCGTATCCTCCTCGGCCTCGACGACGTCATCGCCGGGCTCATCCTGCTGGTGTGCGTCGTGCATTTGCACACTTTTCGCTACGGACGATTCGTTGGTAGCTTCTGCAGGAACAGGAAGCGTCACAGTTGCCGGTGCAGAGCCCGTCACATCTGAGGGCGCCGCGGAGGGGGCAGGCGCAGGAGCTGAACTGACGGCAGCGTCTGGCTCCTTTTTATCATATTGCGATGTGCTCAGCCTCCTGTGGCCATGCGCTCGGTCGTGTTGGTGTCTGCGGAGAGCGAACTCCTCCACCTCCCTTGCGATTGTCGCTTTGGCGTCTGCGATCTGGTCGTCGAGTATATCGTCTTGCGCTCGGGTGAACTTCCACGGCTGGTAATACTGTTGATGCAGTCAGCAACGCAACTGGACGCGTGTGGGCTCGACGGAACATACGATTCGAGGCTCGGCTTTGGTCTGTAATGAGTGAGCTCTCGCTAGCATATTCGCGTGCCTCGTTTTCATCTATCGTCGTGTAAGCTCTCTAGCCTCGAGTGCGCGATGCGACGCTGCCAAGCGTGGCGGCAGACTCACCACTTTCTCCTCAAAATTGATCTGCTCAGCTCTCCGGACTTGGGTGATTCTGGAGAGCCTCTCGGCAGACCTCTTTTCGGCCTCGAGCTTTTGCTTCTGTACCCTCTCCTGCTGCCTCTGCTCAATTTCGCGCCGTCGCTTCAACTGGGCGCCGCCTCCAGACTGGTTCAGTGTGCCGAGCAATCCGCCAAACAGTCGCTTTCCACGCTTCTTCTCTTCGTCTTTGGACACAGCGTTTCCGCGCCGGCCGCGATCGTCTGGCGCATCGTGGTGGTGCAGGTCGCGCGTGTCTGGCCTCGAGCTTGCGCTCGTGTGAGACATGCGCCGGGCGTCATGTGCGCGGTCATCGGGCGAATCAACCTTTGGTCGCTTTGTCGCATCATCTCTGTCGTCGTCTGCCGGCGATGCTTTGCGTTTTTGTGGTGTGGGATCTACTGTCGGCTTGGTCGGGCTGGAGGCCAGCTCCTGTTTGACGGGGGTCCTGCTGACAATTAGTACCTGGTACCATTGCTGAAGGCTCCAGAGCAGACTCACTCTGCGACGTCGGCCATTCTTGTCGCTCGATATTCGCTGGTCTCCCGGGTCTTCGCAAGCGCAAGCGACGCAAGAAGTAGGTCGATACAAACTAGTGTCGAGGTAGGAACGGAACAGTGCACCTGGGTTCCCAAGGCTCGATCCAGACAAAGGAATTCGAGCTTCGGCAGCTCAAGCTCTCGACGTTGCCCCACCTCGGCACACTTGAACCAATGACATCAATCGACACATGCGGCATCGCGGAAGAAGTGGCAAGGCTGAGGAATCAACGTTGTTGCTTTCTTTTGCCCGACAACCCCAGACATCGTTCTCCTCCAACTCCCTACCACCTAGCGCACGATCGCAGCCATCTTTCTCTCTCTCCACCTACGCATCGCAAGTCACTCCAACACTTCCAAACGCCTCCTCCCGTTCGTCATGTCGCGCCATCACCCGTAAGTCCTCCCCCTTTCCCTGAAGACTGTCCCCTACTGACATGCCTCCCCAGCGATCTCGTCATGTGCCGCAAGCAGCCCGGCGTCGCCATTGGTCGCCTCTGCGACAAGTGCGACGGCAAGTGTCCCGTCTGCGATTCCTACGTGCGCCCCACGGCCGTTGTCCGCATCTGCGACGAGTGCAGCTTCGGCAACTACCAGAACAAGTGCGTCGTCTGCGGCGGCGAGGGCATCTCGGACGCCCACTACTGCTTCGAATGCACGCGCCTCGAGAAGGACCGCGACGGCTGCCCGAAGATCATAAACCTCGGCAGCTCGCGGACGGATCTGTTCTATCAGAAAAAAACGAATCGATCAGCAAATTACTAGTGAGCGGGGAGGCCCGGGTTCGGGGCAGGAATCGTCCTTTTTTTTGGGGGGGGGGGGGCCAGCGGTGGCAGCGTGCAGGGTGTTTCGTTGGGCGCCTGCTACGCTTGCGTCCCAAGTATGCTACGAGGGCATGGAGGCAAGACTCTTGGGCGGAGAACAACCTGACGATCGGGCGGTTGGCACTCAAGGAGACGGCACTGGACAGACAGACTGGCGTACCACAGGAAGGAGTTTGGCGTTTTTGGCAATGATGTGAAGCATCGGGTCATGTGCATGGCGCATCTAGGAACAGTAGATTCAAAAAAAAAGATATACCCACGTGGGTGAATGGCCCGAGAAATGCATCTTGGAGAGTGCTCGTAAATTCATGATTACCAAATAGAATGAATCGCCCAAAAGGGGCCAACTCCGCCCATATTCCTTGAATCTCATCGTACACCAGCGACCCGTGAAAGGGGCCATCTCATATATAACTCACCTTGACGCCCATGCCCGCCGTCGCCTTAATCTTGTTCCAGCTATTCCCCAGCACCCGCTGCATGCGCTCGCGAATGTTCTTCTGCCCGACCATCAGCAGCAGGCCCACGACAAAGGCGATGAGCCGCATCAGTAGCATAGGATTCGCCCTGAAAGACGCGCCGAGCTGCTCGATCAAGCCTGCGAGGCGGCTCACGACCATGGTCGCCCGCGCGCCGAAGCCGGAGGCCGGAACGACGGCCTTGGCCTTCGGCCGCGCCGTACCGCCGCCCCTCGCATTCGACGGTCCGGATGCGCCGGACTGCGTGCGCCCGGTGCGAGATCCTCTGCCCGAACCGGCGTGACTAGGCGTCCTCTCGATGCCGTAGTCCACCTCGCTGCCTTCCCGCCGGGCCCTCTCGTCCTCGAGCCTCTTGCGTTCCCGCTCCTCATTCTCGGCCCTCAGGCGTTTCGCCTCCTCGATGTCTCGTCGCAGCTGCTCCTCCTCTTCCCGCTGCGCCTCGAGCTCCCGCCTCTCGGCCTCGAGCTGCTCCTCCTGGAGGCTCTGCAGGGCTTGGAGGAAGGCCTCCCGGCGCTCCTCGTCGAGGACAGAGCTCACGTTGATAAACTCCCGAGCGTAGTCCCACTCGTTATTACGCAGCAGCACGTGCAGCGTGTACAGCTCGAGGATCTTGACGCGGGCGTTCAAGTCGCGCGGCGTATCCGTGCCGCCTGTACGCTTGGCAGGCGACCTGTGACGCGAGCGCATGCGGTGGTGCGGCGAGTCCGAGAATCGATTCGTCAGATCGAGATTTGGCGCCGTCGACGCGGCCAAGTAGCTCTCGAGCCTCTGCTGGTTCAGCATTTGGGTCCTTGCGTGGGCGAGGAGCAAGGTGGCACTGTGCGTTTGTTCGTCAGTTGGCGGTCCATCATCTTCGAGGCGGCAGGTGTAGCAGCTGGGGACAGACAGAGCACCGGGGGGGATGAAAACTCACAGGTTGATCACAACATCACAGTCGACGTCGCCCTCGACGCCGTGGTAGCCGTCGCGCACGACTTCCTCCCAGATCTCGCCGTCCCTCACTTTTGCGCAGAGAGCTCGCCACTCCTGGCTCCCGAACGCATCCTTTCCCTCGTCGGGGTCCAGTTCGACAATGGCGTTCAGAATGGTGGAGGTAGAGGACAAAACTTTGGAGCGCATCGAACGCGAAGCGCAGGCGACGGGAGCTAACTCGACTGGCTCGGCATCCGCGAGGGCGGGGAGCGGCTGGATCACGGGCAGAATGGTCGAGAGAGCCTCGGGCAGTCGGCGGGTCAGGAAGAGGGTGGACGCCTGTTTGTAGGTTTTGGAGATCTGGGACGACTGTGGCCTCGGTGATGGTGACGGCAGCGAGGAGACGGAGCTCGCGAGCATATGAGAGTGGAAAGCGTCGGGCGCGCTGGTGCGTGGACTCAGAGTCGCGGTATAGGAACCATTGACCGACATGGTGGCAGGCAGTGGTAGGGTTGGGGGGCGCAGAGAGAGAGGGGGGGTTGCTTTACTAGTAGATCGGGGTTTGTTGCTGGCATTGACGGGGAGAAATGAGTGGGATTGGTTATTATGTGTCGGTCGGTGTCGGGCGGAGAATGAGAATGAGAGCCATTGTCTGGGGGTGGGCACGCGTTCGTTTCGTGGTCGGGGTCGCCAGTTGACAAAGTAGAGAGGTCAGCGGCATGTGGTTCGGGTCGGGACACGGCGGTGTCAACATTCCACAAGCACGATTTCGCTTCTCGGCCTTGGGTGTTTAGCCTCGGCACCTTGAGATGGAGGTGGTCAACTGCTTGACCACAGGCTGACTGGGGGGGGGCATCTACCTAGGTGCTTAGGTGCCTGCCTGTAATAAGGCACATAGGTACCTACCTATCTTAGGTAAGCCAGACAGAATAGACAGGTACACTGAATGATCGCTGATCGCCACAGCGCTCTGAGGTACCGTCCTGACCTCCACAACCTCGACGAACTCAGCCGCATCGGGCTAGCCTCCGAGCTGTAATTGGGCGGGGCGCCTGACGGCCTTCCTCTTCAACAACGTCCGACCCTCCATCACGGAGATCACGACTGTATAGAAGGTATTATTTCATGCATGAACGCCTGCTACCCCTTCTGCCAAGTCTCTCTCTCGGCTCTCCAAATGCCGAGGTTCTCCCCTGAAAGGCGACCCTTACCCCAGCTTTTTCCTCCTTAGCCCCTGACTGGCGCTGCCGTCTGCCCCATGTTGCGCCTTACAGGCACAGAACGCACATGACCTCTGTGAGATTGGTCAACCGAGCACATGATATAGAGAAATGCCCCTGCATGGCTCACAGACGTCACAGCTCTCTATGAAGTGAATCTCAACGCATAGCATTTTCGTTTCCTGTCTCCTTCCAAGATCAGCCTTGGGTGTTGACATACCCAAGATGCCTCATCCTCGGGACAGCCAGTGAACGGTTCTCGAATCTCACGTCTCTTTAAACATTCAATCCATATCGAATTAGACACTTCTTCAACAACTTTGACTTCGGTGCCAGTAGACAGGGATGCATGGTGGTGAGCGTCTGTATTACGCCTGCCCTCTACAGACCTAGCGCCAGCACGCTCTCAAGCAACCATGGCTCTTTCATCGAGCGAACAAGCACATTTTCAGAAGCAAATCTTCTCAGATACCATAAGGAGTAATATTCAGATGCTTTGTTTGCACAGCTCACTGCTGTCTAAGCACACCACAAGTGAGGAGCCATGGATAAGGCTTTGGCTACCTAACATTCTTCAACTTGTTCCTTGTGCGATGTTTTGCGTGATGCTTCACATCCAAGAGCTCACGCAACAAGACTCTTAAGCATTCTCAAATCTCACCTCATCTGCTTGTGGTTTGACTTGGGAGGGTCGCTTACATCAACAGTATCGCCCCGACGACTCCACGTCTCCGCTCAGCACGACCACGACGATGATACGGGCAGTTACACGTAGCTGAAGAATCTTACGGGGCAAGCAGGAAAACCTCGCTCTTCCCTTCTATGCTTGTCTCGTTTGTTCTTTCTCTTCCTCTTCTTCTTCATGTCGCACTCAGGACCAGCCACGATACCATCCATATCCCCCACCGCTGGACATGGATGTCAACTCGCAGAACTTCTGGCTTGTCCTGCCTGGACTTCTCCAGAGCCTGGCTGACTGCGATTTCGCCGTCATCGACTTGGAGATGTCTGGTGGCGTCACTGACCGTGACGAGTCGCGGTACAGTGGTCTCTCAGGCAAGGAGCTGTCGTACGCCATGGCCGCCCACGCTGCCACGCAGTACAACATCCTCGAATTTGGACTGACCTTGATCAAGAACCCCAAGAACAAGAGTAAGGGCCTGACAACAGATAGCCGAGACGCGCTGACATGGACTGCTGTCTATAGACTCAGAGTTCGTGACGACCACGTACGACTTTGCCGTCAACAACCTCTTCCTCCAAGACACCAGAGACGAGTATATCTTCCAGCGCTCGCAGGAGCGCGTCATCAACTTCTCCGTCACTGCCCTCGACTTCTTCAAGAAGAAGGGCGTCGACCCCATGACCCTCAACGGCTTTGAAGGCGAACATCGGGCCGGCGTCCCGTTTCTGAGCCGCAAGGAGCGTGAAGAGGCCATGGAGCAGGCCATCCGCGCCAGAAACTTCACGCGGGTGGGCTGCGATGAGATGGACATCCCGGCCCGCACTTTCTACGAAGACAATGCCGAGCTCATCAGAAAGTGGTATAATGCCAAGCCCGTATGTGCCACCAGTTCGGAAGCAGAACCCGTCTTAACACGCCTTGATAGCGCCCCAACTCCCAGGTCATCATGTTGCATCCACGATCGACCCGCGTCTCGCTCTATAGACGTCTCGTCGCTGAAATCCTCGAGGAGTACCCTGACTGCTTCATGGAGCCGTTCTACTCCTACGGAATGCGCATCTCTGTCAAGACCGCCGAGACTCTGAAGATTGAGGACGAGGTGAGTCTCCCCCTCGTGCTCTGCTGCACTTGCTGATCATGCTTTTAAACTATGTTTAGAAACGTCAGGTTAGGGTCAACGCTCGTGAAGCCACCATCAAGAAGCAGGCCCTGTCTCAGCATCGTCTTTGAAGCCCTCTGCGGCGGCAACTTTCTGGATCTCATCGACACGGTCGAGCTATCTGCCACGCTCGCGGCGTGCCCCGGCTGGCGCAACAACGTCGGCGACCTCCAGCGGCACCTCAACAAGTGCCAGACGGCGCTGCGGGCCAAGCGTCCGGTCCTGGTCGGCCACAACATGGTGTACGACCTGACGTTCCTCTACGACGCGTTCGTGGGCTGCCTGCCGGCGACGCTCGCCGGGTTCCAGTTCAGGCTCTTGGCCATCTTCCCGCGCATCATCGACACGAAGGTCCTGGCCGTCCACATCAACCACGTCGACGGCAACGACCCGCTGGGCGCCCTCTACAACGACTTCAAGCACGGGCGACCCGAGATCACCCATGCTCTCGGCTTTGGCTACAACGTGGACCAGGGCCGTGCCCACTCGGCTGGCTTCGACAGTGCGTCCCCGGCTCCCCCCAGACCTGGGCTGT